CACCATGCTAGTAACATGCTAATCATGCAAACAAAATGCTAATCATGTTAGAAACATGCTAATAACTTTGCTAATCATGCTAACAATATGCTAACACCATGCTAGTAACATGCTAATCATGCTAGAATCATGTTAGCAACATGCTAGTAAATTGATAATTATGTTAACAACATGCTAGTAGCATGCTAATCATGCTAGAAACATGCTAGTAACTTGCTAATCATGCTAACAGAATGTTAACACCATGGTAGTAGCATGTTAATCATGTTAGAAACATGCTAGTAACTTGCTAATCACGTTAACAAAATGTTAACACCATGCTAGTAACATGCTAAACATGCTAGAATCATGTTAGCAACATGTTAATAACTTGCTAATAATGCTAACAACATCATAGTAACATGCTAATCATGTTAAAAACATGCTAGTAACTTGCTAAGCATGCTAGCAACATGCTAACCATGTTTGAAACATGCTAGTAACATGCTAATCATGCTAGTTACATGCTGATTGTGCTAGCAACATGCTAATCATGCTAAAACATGCTAACAACATGCTAGTCGTGCTAGAAACAGCCTAGCAACCACCCCAGGTACCCTAGCAATATATTTTATACCTATCTGTTTTTCTGATAGACTGTATTGCCTTGAAAGCATTCAAACTTTAATCTTTAAAACTATTGTAACTTTCAAACTACTTCAAACTGAAAACTTTCAGATTGCAAGCTTTTAAAACTTTTTAAAACTTTCTAGCTAGGCTTTTTCAAGCCAACTTAAAGTTTGTCTACAACCTTTTAATCTAGTTTATTCATGTGATGCAATTTAATTAAATTGTGGGGTAAACATGATAATAAAGGCATTTATAATGTCACCAAAATTTTCTTTTTCAAATAAATGCTGATCTTTTGAACTTCCTATACATTAAAAAAATCCAGAAAAATAAAACATATCATGGTTTTCAAAAAAATATGAAGCAGCACAACTGTTTTCAACATTGATAATATTAAATGTTTATTAAGCAGCAAATCAGCATATTAGAATGAAGGATCATGTGACTGATCTGAATGCTGAAAATTCAGCTCTGATCACAGGAATAAATTACATTTTACAATATATTCACACAAAATATTTAAAATAGTTTAAATATTTAATATTTGAAATAGTAAAAATATTACTGTTTTTACTGTATTTGTGACCAAATTAATGCAGCCATGGTGCGCAGAAGAGACTACTTTCAAAAACATAAAAAAAATCTTACCAATCCAGACTATTTACCTTGTACTTTTACTGGAAAGCAATACAAAAGTACTTGCAGTCTATATAAAACATACAGAATGTCTCACTTGTAAGGTTGCTTTTGGTTAGAAGGCAGATTGTAAGCAGCCTCCGTCTCTCTCTCTTTATCTGTATTAACCCTTAAATGCATACCTCTGGTCTTTAGCGACCCGGGACATCATTCTCTACCCTCTCCCTCTTTCATTTTTTTAAGTTAGACATCAACTTTCTTAGTATTCCTCAATCCATTAATTATAAACAATATAACAAGAAAAAAAAAGTAAAATATAAAAGAATGCCTGTTTTGTGATTCATTTTTTGTAAAAAGTGTATAGGGTCGCTAGAGACCCGAGGTATGTAATGCAATGGTAAAATCATCTGCTCAAATTGAACCCTTTTAAGTCTCAAAAGGTAACGAAATATGCTTTATTGTATTCTTCTGTAATTGTTCTTAAAATATCAAGAGAGTTTTTTGCTATTGCAGCAGTTAGAGATCCATCCGTGCTGGAAATATAAGTCTGGGTCGCTAAAGACCCGAATATGTAATAATGATTGGCGAAACATTCATGCATTTAAGGGTTAAAGCGTCAGAGCATGACTGAATTAATGACATCTTCATTCCTCTGGCGTGTCTTTTGAGAACATTAATTATTTTCATTACATAACGACAGCACAATCCTCCCCTCCTTTAAACTCCTTCTCATCATTAATTAGGAGAAAAAGTCCGGTAAGACGCTCCTCAACAGGCAGATCATCACTCGGAAGTGAAATGTGAAGCATTTTTGAGGATTATTTTAATTTTGTTGTCATGCATGAACTGGTGTCTTTAGCCAACAGGCCTGATCGAAATATTAAAGGTTACCACGGCAACAAAACAGGAAGAGGAGGCGTCCGGGAGACAAAAGATTGAGGCCCGGAATGACCTCGAAACGATTTTACAAAGTGTTTCTGTGCTTTTGTTTGTGCGCACAAAAGATCTACAATGACAGAATCAATGTTTGCTTTGCTCCTGTGAGGTCAAAGATTAATTGTATGCCAGTCTCTAAGCACGTTGCTGCTGTCAATCTAACTCAAGGCTCACGTTCACCTGCTGACTGCATCTGATTTATGTTTAAATTAGCTGTAACTTAAACAGGCTCATGTACGGTGAGGAAATTACTGTCTGGATACCGTGTACAGACCTGTTAAACCATCATTTACACACACACACACACACACACACACACACACAAACACACACACACACACACACACAAACA